TCCCTGGTGCTGAGTTCTGTGGTGCTGGGTTGTGTTGTGCTGGATTCTGTGGTGCTGGGTTCTGCGGTGCTGGATTCTGCGGTGGTGGGTTCTGCCTGGGCGCAGCTTAGGCGGCTGTCTTGCCAGGTTCTGTTGTGTTGGGTTCTGTGGTACTGGGTTCTGTGGTGCTAGGTTCTGTGGTGCTGAGTTCTGTGGTCCCGGGTTCTGCGGTGCTGGCTTCTGTGGTGCTTGTTGGGAGATCCACCCTGAGGGCTTCAAGCTTCAGGGAGGCAGAGCTCACGGTAGGTGGAGTGAAAAGTGAAGTCATGAGAAATAGGCAGCAGTTTCTAGGAAACTACTGGTGTATTTATTTTAGGGGGATGAGTTTATTTAAAGTGGCTTAAATATATTTGCAATCAACCATGCAATGAGATGTTATTATTATTAAGGAAACTTTTAAGTGATTAAATAACTCTAAAATAGTCTCAGTAGTAGTCATTTTGTGTTGTTGATTTTTTTGCTTATGTAAAGTTGTTTGATGAGAAAATGTGGCCTCTACTATCGCAGAGAAACAAACCAATCTTAGTAGATTCCCAGTTGTATGCAACCTATGCCTTTAAAAGCACAGCGCCAGAGGTTTCGGCTAGCATCACTCAGTGATTAAAACATAAAAAAGGAAAGAAAGAAAAAAACCAACTCCTAGCAGGTTAGGTGTCCTGGAGGAGACAGGAGGAATGCCTCAGGGCCAGCTTGCTTTCCACACTGCACTAGCCCCGTGCCACCCTCATACTTTTTATGGCCCCAGTGGGACTGCCGATGGCACTCTCCTGCCTCCTGCCCTGTCACCTCGGGGCCTGCCACAGTGTCCCGGCCCCAAGCCCCTGAGCCATCCCCTGGGGGCCTCCCACAGTGTCCCGGCCCCCAGCCCCTGCGCCATCCCCTGGGGGCCTCCCACGGTGTCCCGGGCCCACAGCCCTGCACAAGGTTCCCACTGCCGAGTTAGGGAAGCGCCTGCTATTGGAAATGTAATTTGGAACGTTTGACCCAAGACTCTCCCTAAATCTTTAATCTGCGGTGTCGTGGGGTTGCTGTTGTCCTGGAGACGTGTGGACCAGCCCCCCAGACCCTCGCCCGGAGCAGCTGCCGAGACTCCGAGTCAGCCCCTCCCCCCAGGCCTCCGTCCCATAATGAGATCACTTGTCAAAACAGAGAGAAACACCATTTTCAAGGCCTAAAAAATTGATTTTTATGGCTCTTGTTGTAATTCTCTTTCTGAATTAGGCACATGATATTGATGTGGGCCTCCGTTTTAATCATAATAGCTACTGACAAGGTAATTAATTTTAGAACAACTCTTTTTTTCTTCTGCTCCAAATGGCACTATATTGAGATTGAAAGTGAGCTCTGGGAGGGCAGCGGGGCTGGCACTCAGGTGATTGCCTCGGCCGTGACAGCCCCTTCGTCTTGCAGCCGCCGGGCGCCCTTTAGAGGCGGCTGCTGCTGTTAATTGGCTCAGGCTGTCCTGTCAGTGGAGCAGGGTGAGGAGCGTGGTCCAGTTGAGGGTTTCATGACTGTCCCACAGGACTGGACAGAGACACTGTGTCTCCAGGGCGGCGCTGGCCCACCTGCTGCTTGCCTGGCGGCTTCCTCGAGAAGGAGGAGCAGCCGGGCCTGGGCAGTGTCCCCGGTGAGGGCGGCGGCCGGGGTGCTGGGAGGGAAACCTCAGCCAGCAGGGCACGGCCGCCCGGGAGGCTGTGATTCCTCTCCGCACTTGGGAAAGGTTTAAGGTTTGCTCAGTCTGGGTTCTGCTGCTTGTTTAGCCACGTGGCCGTTCCCTTTGCTCCTGTGCTGGCACGCACAGATGCTTGGCCACGTGGGGCACTTTGGTATCTTGTGGTCTCACCTGCACTTGGATGTGGCTGGCAGCGTCGTGCCCCTCTGGCCTGTGAGCATTGCCGCCCTCCCTCGGGAGCCTCTGTGCACCCGGCAGCTGCTCTCCTGGGGACTCGGGGTGCAGGGTGCTCTGTGTCTTCTTCCACACAGGGGACCCTCCGTGTCCCCTCACACCCTCCACACGCAGGACCCTCCGTGTCCCCTCATACCATCCACACACGGGATCCTCTGTGTCCCCTCACACAATCTCCACACGCGGGACCCTCCGTGTCCCCTCACACAATCTCCATGCACGGACCCTCTGTGTCCACTCATACCCTCCACACGCGGGACCCTCCGTGTCCCCTCACACCATCCACACGCGGGACCCTCCGTGTCCCCTCACACCCTCCACACGTGGGACCCTCCGTGTCCCCTCACACAGTCTCCATGCACGGATCCTCTGTGTCTGCTCACACCCTCCACACGCGGGACCCTCCGTGTCCCCTCACACCATCCACACGCGGGACCCTCCGTGTCCCCTCACACCATCCACACGCGGGACCCTCCGTGTCCCCTCACACCATCCACACGCGGGATCCTCCGTGTCCGCTCACACCCTCCACACGTGGGACCCTCCGTGTCCCCTCACACCGTCCACACGCGGGACCCTCCGTGTCCCCTCACACCCTCCACACGTGGGACCCTCTGTGTCCCCTCACACTGTCCACACGCGGGACCCTCCGTGTCCCCTCACACACCCTCCACACGCGGGACCCTCCGTGTCTCCCTCTGTGTCTTCCTCCACACGCCCTCCAAGTTTTCTGTGCTCCCAGAAAACAGGAAGTGTTTCCCTTTTTCCCAGCAGAGCTGGAGGCTGGTTTAAGCAAATTGCATGACAATAGATCAAATCTATTACAAGGAGATTTAACCTAAAATGGAAGGAGTTCTAATTCAAAAGGTAAACAAGTCTTTTGTGGGATTTGCCAAGCCAAGCTGTAGCAATTAACAGGCAGAAGGAGCCTGAGGTGGCTGGGACGATTTTTAAAAGATTGTCAACAAGTAGGACTTCCCTATAAAAAGTCGTATTAATTAAAAGCATGCAGGAATGGATTTTTAAAAGGTCTGCAGAAGAGAATAGATTGTCTCAGAAAGACCTGTGCCGCTGGGAATGCTGTGTTATGATACAGACTTGGTGGGAAGACGGGGCACTTCGAATAAATGGTGCCGATCAATTGACCAGCCACTTGGGAAATTGATAAACTTAGATCCCTGCTCTGCACTGTAATTCCGGATGGATTAAAGGATAACCCTTAAAACTCTACCCTAAAGATGAAGGTGGGGGCACCGTGTCCCTGTGGGGGCCAGGGCCAGCGTCTCAGCCACAAGGGAAACAGATGCCTGTGACTATATGGAAATTAAAACATCTGCCTGAGGGAAGCCGCTGCAGTGGAAAGCCCAGACCCAGGCAAGACGGGGTTACTCTCCAGAGCTCACAGGACACCCCTGGAATTCCGAGAGAAAAGGCCAGGAACAAAAGAGAACAGCAGGCTGTGAACAAGTAAAATCGGGAGAAAATGCAAATTTCAGTATGTAGATTTAAAAGTATTGAAGGTGTGCAAGTTAAGACAAATGAACTCCCACCCCCCATAGCCAAAAATGAAATAGAATGGTGATGATTTCACCCACACCCGGTCATGGAAGCGTGGCCTGCAGACACTCCTCTCTCACTCTGGCGTAAGAGCCCTGGAGGATGCAGGTGGGGCCCCTTGGCTCTTCAACCCGAGGGTGGAGGCGTCAGCAGTAGGTGTGGGCAACGCAGAACAGGACCAGGTAAGAACTGGGAAGCGGGACACCATTGGCTCACCTGCGGATTCTGCTGCTTCTCAGGCTAATCAGAAGGCTGAGTTGGTGACTGGTCAGGCCCCTGCCCAATGGGCCCTGCCATGCTGCTCACACCCCTGTCCCCAGCTCCAGGAGGGCACAGTGCTCCCAGCAGTGTGGGACTCAAACCCGTGGACAACAGTCACACCTGCAGAGTTGCCTGGTTGGAAGCTGTCACTTTTGCCTGGCTAATGACGCTGAGTTTATTTAGAAAAAACAACGGCCCATCTCCAAATGCAGTGTGCTTGGACGGGCAGCCCCTGAGCTGCCTGCCCCCTGCCCTGCCAGCCCCACCTGGGTCTGGGTTGTGAAAATAGGAATTTGGGTAACCAGAGTATTTCCTTTTCTTGTCTACAGATCACGTTTCTGTTGCACTGATGGTCTTGTGGCCGGTGCCACCCTGCACAGGGTCTTGCTTTGCTTTTGTGCCGGAAAGGTCCAATGTCTTGCTCTCCTTGGAAGCAAGCAGTTCACGGCATTACTGCACGCAGCCGGCTGAGGGGAGACTTGGGGTTTGAGGGGGTTGATGCTTTCTTATGGCTTGTATCGTCAAGGGAAGCCGCAATGGGAAAATCTTTAGGAAATGGATTGCAATTGATTTTAAATACGTAGGTGGAAGAATTTTTCTTGCGCAAAGCTGTACCTGGTTAAAAATATACACACACATGTGCAGCCACTGTTACTCTCTCACTTGGAAATGCCTGAGTGGGGATCATATATAAACACACCTCACAACAGGTCTGAGGGGACATCCCTGCTCGGGAGGAGACAGCTGGGGCAGTGGGTCCTGCCGTTCACCTGCACGTGCCCCCCGTCCCACCCTCCCGCCTCTCCCGACCTCTGGGGTGTAATATTCAGGATCCCTGTCTGACCCTCCCCATCCCTCCCTCCCGCCTCTCCTGACCTCTGGGGTGTAATATTTGGGATCCTGGCTTGGCCCGGGGGCTGTGGCTTTCCACACTTGAGGTCCCCACGCTGCCCTGGCCCTGCAGGTGAGGACACAGCTGAGACTCTGGCTTTCCTCTTTGTCCGTGTCGCTGGCAGCATAGGCGTGTCGGAGTTGGCGAGGGCTGAGGGCTGCTGGGTGAACCTGTGTTGGCGGTGGTCTCAGAGATGAATTTTGGGGGTGCAAAGAAGCAACCAGCGAGGTTCCCCTGTAGCAGGAGACAGCAGAGGATGTGCAGATGGGGGTGTGGAGGAGCGCGGGGGCCAGGTGAGGGCCGGGCGGAGTCAGTGCCCTTGGTAACAGGTCCTCTTTTTTCCAGAATCATCGATCAGCGATTCGAGAAGGTTTCCTACTTTGTCTTTGGTGATTTCAACTTCCGGCTGGATTCCAAGTCTGTCGTGGAGGTAGGCGCTGGCTTCCCCCCAACCCGCGTCATGCCTCATCTGTATTGAGGGAAGCAGCGGAGGAGCAGGGTCTTTTACCGGCATTTGTGACGCCCTCAGCCTCCTGGGCTGCACTTTGTAAGGCAAAATCCTGCAATGGAGAAGCATGTTTTGCTGTTGGCAGAGGGTTCTGTGTTGGAACCTGAGGTGAACAGTCCCCTGGGGTTGTGGCGGGTGGTGGCCCTGTGGCGCTGTGCCCTGTGGTTTTCATCGTCGGCCCACAAGGAACCGCTGCCACGCCGCCCCCTCGGTGCCCACAGAGCCGCAGCCCGTCAGGCTCCTGCACGCCATCCAGCATGATCACAGCAGTTTTCCTCATAGCACCCGTCCGACTTTTGGAGCCCATTTTAAACGTTGTGCCTGTCTGTCTGCTAAACCGTTATTCTGCGTGAGTTAATGATCATCGACCTGCTTGATCTCTGGGAACTCAGGGTCCTGGGTGCTCCCAGGCTGGCCAGGGCCCAGCAGCTTGGGCACTGAGGTGCCACCAGCAGAAAGTGGGCCCCGAGGCTCAGCACGAGGGCTGCCTTTTCTCTGTGGTCTGGTCCACCCTGGCTCTGGGCCCTCCCTCCCAGTTCTCGTAACGTGGGATTCCACTTCCCAGGCAGCCGTGAAGCGGGGGCGGGGTGGGTGGGAAATGGAAGAACACCTGCTGCCTACCCGCCCGGGCCCTGCCACCCTCACCCTCAGCCTCCCCGGCGGCCCCTCCAGGTGCTGGGCACGAGCTGACAGCCCACAGCAGGGCCATGGTGAGTCAGGCGGGGCCACGGTGACTCGGGCGCAGGGACTTGGACGGGGACGTGGTGCACCCGCACAAGAGTGGCAGGACATTGTTTCTGAAACACAGCCTGAGCTGGCCTTGGTCATCCCGTGTCTCCTCTGGTTGGCAGAAGTGAGTGTTCTGAAATCATCAATTGCGTGGAGCCGGCAGCACCTCGCCACGAGGCCCCATTTGGCCACGCTGGTGCCTGAGCGTTCAGTGGCTCCTGGCCCAGGTGGCGCATCACCTGGCCGTAGAGGAGGAAGTCAGGGCCTTTGCGTGCAGTGGGCTGTGGAGTGCGAGGTGTTTTTAAAGCGCACACACCGCAGCAGGCCCCGCAGGTCTTTATCTCCCTGTGCCTCGATTCTTTCTCCTTGGCCTCTGACCTCCCGACCTGCAGGCTCGGCATGGGCTGGGGTGGGGGCTGGGCCCGTCCTTGCTGGAATCCGTGTCCCTGAGTTTAATGCTATCCGGGACGTGGGAGTGAGGCCTGGGGGCCACAGAGCGGGGGCTCCGTCAGAGGCTCCTCTTCAGCTACGCAGAGCCACGGGGGCTGGAAGTGGCATTTCCGGGAGGTCTGGAGCATCTCTGAACGTGCTTACCTCTAACCTGTTACTTGAGAGCCAGTGAGCCCACAGGGCACATGAGCACTTCCCACTCTGACCCACTCTGACCGTGAGTGGCCAGAATGAAAGTAAAGAACCTGCTAGAGGCCAAAGCCGATCAATCCCGAGCGCCCAGCAACTGGGGAGACATCAGGGAGCTTGAGAAGGGCCTTGTCCTCCCTGGTAGAGCAAATGTCACCATGAAGGGCAGCTGGCTCTGGCCAGGTCAGAGCCGTGGCAAGGCCCATGGGGGAGTGCCTGTGGGAGCTTCCCTGGTAAAGGGAGACAGCTGCTGGGCCCAGCGGCTTGGCCACACCACAAGGCGTGCGGGGCGATGGGGAGCCTGGATGCCTTGTCCTGTGGGGTGTGGAGGGGGCCGCTCTGGTTTCTGCAGGCATGGGCAGTGGTGGGGGCCTGGGCGCTAGGTCCAGTGGGGCAAGTCTCTACAGGCATGGGGGAATATGGGGGGCCTGAGCCTCGTCCTGTGGGGCGTAGAGGGGGCCACTCTGGTCTCCGCAGACATTGGTAGCAATGGGGAACCTGGGTCCTGGGGAACTTGTGGGGCCACTACAGTCCCTGCAGGCATTGGGGGCAGTGGAGAGCCTGGACGCCAGGTCCTGTGGGGTGTGGTGGGGGCTGCTGTGACCTCTACGTTTGTGGGGAGCATGGGTGCCGGATCCTGTGGGGTGTGGGGGGGGCTGATTCCTGTGAAGGCCTGTGGGGCTTTCCTCTTCGTACCAAGTGGAAAAGGAGGAAAGTGCCTCACCAGGGTTTGGGATTGGGTGTGGGTGTGACCGTGAGAGGCGGCGTGGCAGGGGGGCAGGGCAGGGGCCTTGGCAGCCGGCCAGGGTCTGCCACATCTTCTTCTGCATCACCTGACTCATCCCCCTGGCCTTCCTGAGCACCGTCACACACAGCCCTCAAGCCTCATGGGCACCGTCAGCAGTGTTTTGTGATCACTCAGTGATCATGTAGATCACTATTTCTTAGAGAAAGAGTTCCTCTCACACAGGCAATCACAGCGCGGCAGCTCTGGCCAGGTCGAGGTGGCTCTGGTGCCCTGGACACCTGGGGGACGTTAGGTGCAGAGTGGGAGCTGCCTCCCGGGCCTCGCTGGGCTGCCCAGACCTTCCAGGACCTGCCCAGGTTCCACCCAGGAAGAAGCAGGTCCCTGCTCATCCACACCTGTGCTCCGTTCTCCGTGTTAGGCTGTCACTAAAGGAGCCCTTGCCCCAGCTGCCTGCCCTGCCAGAGGGGTCCACACGGAGGGCCGTTGCTGGGGAGGCCACTTGCCTGACGCCAGAGTTCCAAGATTCCCTTCACCGATAAACCAGTGAAATCTTCCGCAGCGACCTTCCTGTTTAACTTGAAACAGCAAACTAGAGAGGATGTGAATTCGATTAGCTGTGTGTGTAAGGGGCTGTGTGCTTTGTGACTGATGATAAACAGTTCTCCAGAAACGGCCACTTTCTCCTGAGTCAGCCAAGAGTTTGAGGAACCTCCAGGCTGCGGCTGTGACACAGGCTGCTGGAGCACTCCAGGACGAGTGAGCACGCCAGCCCCCACCCCCCAGGAACTGAGGAGTCTCCATGTCTTTGTCACTTTCCCACCCATGGTAATTGGGAGACAGGAGTTACTTGACAGGTGTTTTTCCTCTCACAGCCCCCCGCTGTAGCTGATTTTAGACGGAGCCCAACCATGCGGGTCTGCCCAGCCTGTTCTCAGTCCCTGCGGGGTCCTTCCCGCCACCTCCTGGTGTTCCCTCACCCGTCTGCCCTGGACTGGCCAGGCCCCTTTCTGGGCTCCAGGGGGTGCGTCATCGCTGCCCATCTGCCTGGGGTCCCATCTGCCAGGACCACATGGGCGAGGCCGGTGGTAGACCCAACACTGCTAGGTGGGCTGGTGGACTGCATGGGCAGCGGGGAAGAAGGCGCCACCTGCCTCGGGGCAGTTCACATCCGTCCCTCACACCCTGTTTGCCGGCTCTGCGGCTGCTCTCTGCTGCGCCAGCTTCTCAGCTCCGTAGAGAGGGGTCCCGGGTGTGGACACAGCAGCTCCTGCGTGCAGCTTGGTAAGACAACGGAAGTGGGGTTTGCCCATCAGGCTGAGCGTCAGAGGCAATTATAAGTCAGGAAGAGAGAAAAATGCGGGGGTCCTGAGACTCCTCTGCATGCCCCAAGCGGCTTCTCAAAGGAACAGTCCGCAGGAACCCGGCAGAGCTCCTGCAGGCCTGGCTGACCTGGCGGCGTCCTGAAGTCCCACCGCATCACCGCAGCCTGCTGTGAGCTTGACGGCGCGCTGCCTCCGTCTGCCCCGCAGCAGCCATACCGAGGGCAGCCAGAAACCCGGCTTTCAATCTCATTTCATTTTAATTTGATGTGATAGAGCCGCATGGGTGGTGGCGGTTCCACAGGATGATGCAGACCCGGCGGTTTTCACGCCAGCGCAGGGGCCGTCAGGGTGGAGCGTTCCGTGGACCTGCCGTCCAGTCAGCCTGGGCTCAGCCGCTTCCCCGTGCATCCCCGTCCTCAGAACCACAGCCCTGAGGGGCACCCTGGGTGGGGTCTCCATGCTGCCCAGCAGATGTGGTGGTCATTCACATGGGACAGTGTGGAGTGGTTGGTCCTGCCCAGTCCCAGGGAAGAGGTGGGCCTAGGTTCCCCCAGGTGAGAGGCCAGAGAACAGAGAAGGTGCCCCTGGGGGTGACTGCACCCCTCCCACGTATCAGGCATCCCTCTCACAACTCAGGTACCCCTAGGAGTGACCGCACCCCCACCCCCTACCTCCTCGTAACAGGTGCCCCTGGGAGTGACTGTGCCCCTCCATTGTACCAGGTGTCCCTCCCTTGAATCAGGTGCCCTGGGGGTGACCAAATTCCTGCCCCGTATCAGACACAGGTGTTTTCAGCAGTAGGTTTTCTTTGATGGTGCCGTTTGTTGGTGTCAGACATGAGGGGATGGAGGAAGGGTGCAGGAGGCGGTGGCTGAGGCTCCAGTGAGTCTGCTGGGAGTGGGCGCTCTCCAGCCCCGACATCAGCTTGGCAGGGAGTGCTCGTCTCCGTGAGGGTTTCCTCACCTGCAGAACACAGTGTTCACTCCAGTCCAGCAGAAGGAAAGCTGCGTGCTCAGTGCTGGCTTAAGTCCGGCAGAAGGAAAGCCATGTGTGACTGTGACCAGGCTTCAGTGGGAAATCCAGCTTCTGTCAGCAAAGGTCTTCTCTGAGCTTACCACGTCCCCAACAGACATAGATGCCACCCATGGCAGCCCCCGGCACCCCAGGCAGTGGCGATGCAGATTCCCAGGAGCAGGGAGGCCTCCCCAACCACAGCGCATTCACACGCCCGGCCACCTGGCCTGTGGGTCCCAGGATGCTGCCCATGCAGCTGCCGGGCCCTGGCTCACAATGCCCTCACACGTTACTGTTCTGTGCTATCTGTCTGGCATTTGCAAAGGAACGGGAAGAAAAGTGAATAGTTTTAAACTGGATTATTGACTCAGTAACTGTCTAAATTCCTTGCATTAATTTTTGGAGGGTTTTCCTGCCCATGTGGCTCTTTAAGACTATGGATACATACATGGCTGCTCATTTGCTGAAAGTCTTATCACATTTTGCAGAGTGTGCTGCGTAAGTAAAGCCAGCCTAGTGGGAAATAAGGAAAAGGGTGTGCAGACTGCTTAGTCCAGGGAAGGCCACGCCCCTGGAGAAAGGACCGCTTTCCCTCCTGGCCTCATCAACACAGTCGTCAGCTGTGTGTGAAATCCCACAGCTCACAGGAGCCGAGTGCGCGGTGCCCTGACTGGCCCAAAGCTGAGCACCCAGACTTCATGGCCACAGGGATGTCATGAGGGCTGGGGGCCATCAGGAGTCACGGGACCCTGGAAGCAATTACAGGAGGACCCTGAGGCCCAGGGCAGATGTGGTCACCCGTGGGTCACCCGTGGCCCCTCAATGCTAAGTGGTACCACCACGTGGTGCCTCCGCATGGCCACGTTGCTCCCCGTGGGCCATAGGCCTGTGCAGCCTCTCTGGAAGGCCACAGCCTGTCCTCTGTGTGCTCTTCTGATGACGTGGAATGTGCATGCCAAGCGGAGCCCTCCCACACACTGAGGCTCCTGTCTCCGTGTGGGGAGATTCCTGCAGTGGCAGCAGCTCAGAGGACCATAGGCTGGGCGGTTTACACGGCAGAGTTTCATTATCTCACATCCTGGAACCTGGATGTCCAAAGTCAAGATGCCCTAGCACCACACTGCTCCTGGAGGCTCCCGGGGAGGAGGAGCCCTTGCCTCGCCCAGCTGCAGGTGGCCCAGGTGGCCCAGGAATCCCTGGCTCGTGGCCATGACATCCCAGTCTGTGCCTCCACCTTCATGTGGCCTTTGCATGTGAGGACACGAGTCTGTGGACATAAGGCCCACCCCCCGCCCCAGGACGTCTCATCTCAAGATCCTCAACTAGTCATACCCGCAAGGCCCTGTTTCCAAACAAGGCCCCATTCTGGAGTTCTGGGTGGACATGGATTTGGGTGCACGCTGCACAGCCCAGGACAACAGGCAGTGCTGGAGGGACTGTCTCCTGCCACCTGGGAGACAAACACTAGCACAGAAAACATTTCTGGGAAAGCCCTGTCTAAAAATAAACGTAACTGAAAATGACCAGATTTTTTTTGTTGGTGGTGATTAATTTCAGCTGCTGTAGTTAAGGTGCCAATTAGGTAGATTATTAAATTGTAAAATACCATCTCAGCACCTGTTATGGAAAATCAAAATCTGCCAGTTGGCGCGACATGGTTTTTAAAAGGGTTTCTGACTGTAAAAACGTTTCATAGAGATTTTGTGAAAATCAAAGAAAACCTTGCACAATTTTCCTTTGAGGCTGACTTGGACCAAGGAATTGAGGCCAGGTGTTTGGGGATCCCCCGTGCCAGCACCGGATCAGGCCGTGCCGAACGCCAATGCCAGCTTCTGCGTGTGAACGAGCCGGTGCCTCAGGCCTCTGCGTGTGAACGAGCCGGTGCCTCGGGCCTCTGCGTGTGAA